GGACCAGGACTGCAGGAGAACTACGTACCTGGAAAAAGTGTTGTTTTGGCTGCGTTTTTTTCAGTGGCAGCGGCTGCACTTGTCGCTGTTGTCCACCGGAGCTGTCTGTTCGGTTCTGGGACTACCTGGATGGGTTGATTCCATTCCATTTTTTTTTGGGTTGGGTTGATTCCATTTCTTGTTTGGTTACTGGGTTGGGGTTATCTCTCGTTTTTTGTTTGGTCGGAGGAGAATGAAATGTGGGTTGAGGTCCCTGACACGCGGAGCCCACACATCAGCCTCCTTTCCCTTATCACGTGCTTTCCTTCTTCTCCCACAGGTGCCCCCCAACCCCCTACGTGCCGTCGCCTGCACACGGAGCAGGATCTCCAGCGAGCATCCCCTCCGTCCGCGGGAGACGGACCTTCGGCGAGCAGCCGCCCTTCGCCCGTGCCCGAGCTTCGCCCGTAGCCGACCTCCGCCTGCGACTCCTACGTCCACCCGCAAGAGCTCCGCAGATGCGCCCCCATCTCCGTCTGTGGAGCAGGATCTCCGGGGAGCACCCCCGCCGTTCGCGGGAGTCGGACCTCCGCTCGCTCCCGAGCTCTGCCTGCAGCCGGACTCCCTCAGCGCCTGACTCGTATCTCCATGGCGGGCGGCTCCCTTGGCTCGGTCTTCCCTGAGCGCCCCGACGCAGGAGCGTCACGCCGCCCTGCGCTGGCGTGACCCCGTCCGACGCCCGACTCGGTCTTCCCCGCTCGGCCTCCATCCCCGCGCGCCCGCCGCTCCCTTGCGTCATCTGGGTCCGCTCCGGTTTCTTCGATTTGGAGGGGCATGGGGAACTTGGATCTAGGAGGAATATTCCCTTTCTGGGATGACCCCAACCCAGCAGGATGGCAACCAAACGCAACAAAAATCGGGTCCAACCCACTCTGACACAGTCGGACCTCCCATCCAAACACACGCTAACAGATGTAGCCGTTGCGGCTAACAGTCGAATAGGCCCAAAGTTTAAGGAGATATCAGCATGCACATTGCGCAACGGGACATGCATGCAAAGGAGATTTAGCTAGGTTTGTGAAAGATCACATCATATGACTTAGCTTTGTGGCCCATCATAATCACAACTAGAATGTAGTAGTCAACTCTTGCGAGCTGTTCGGTTGATGGTTTCTGTGGCTAATAAGCCGGCTGATACTGTTTTGTTGTGAGAGAAAAACACTGTACCATGCCTGATAAGTTAGGCTGATAAGTTCAAGCGAATTTGGTTGCGCTCGTATTTATCTTAATCCACATGTATTGACTTGGATTGAGGTGTACCATGCGGGCTGATAAGTTCAAGCGAGTTTGGTTGCGCTCGCATTCACCTTAATCCACGTGTATTGACTTGGATTGAGGTGGATACGAGTGCAGACAAACAAAACCTCAGAGGATGAGAATAACAAACACGACTATTATTTCCTAAATTAATGTAGAATGTGAGAAACGAGTGGTAGAACTAAAAAAAACTCACGATGACTTATTTCAAAATAAGTCTCATTGAACTTGTTTTCCAAACAAGATTTTCATAGGGTCTATTTAGAAATGCTCCTGCTCCATCAAAACTAGCTCTACTTCACCAATTCCACTGTAGAACAGCTTCATTGTAGAGTTGTAATCCCATCTTAGAGCAGATGGACCTATTCAGACTTGTAACTACCTATCTCTAGTAACGTGAGTTTTTCCACAGGAAAAGATCTAACTTGGATGATGTTTGTGTTTGTTTTGACATTTTGTAAGCATATATGTGGATGACTATGTTTTTAACCAATTGAATTAGGATGTAAAATATTAAAATTGCAAATAAATTAGTAAAAAAAAAGCAAAAACACATATTTTGATAAAAAAACATCTTTTTTACCCATAGATAATTAACAAAGTCAAACATTTGAGTACAAATAATATTGTCTATAGACAACTAGAGAATAGTTTTAATCAAATCGACATAATAAGAGCAACTCCTACAGACTAGCTATCCTACTTGACTTAGGCAAAGTTAGAGAAACATAGGCTCTAAATGCCTCGTGAACCAGATCTCCAAAATGCCAAACTCATCGGTACACTTTTATCACTCGGTAGAAGAAGCAAGGGGGTTTCACTTGCTATCTCATCTGCCCCCCTGCTGTAATAAAAATGGCACCTATCAAGGGTCATATGTGATTTTGGTGATGGTATGACAACATGATTATTTGGCTTATGTTGTTTGTTAGTATACAAGGTGTTTAATTCAAATGAATGCAAGGACGAACGTAGACAAAGGTAATGTGAAAATCAAGTGATCAACTCCTCAAGCAAGGATATGGAGCTACTATGAAGAATTTAAAAAACATGCAAGAAGTCCAAAACATCAAATAGATGAAGCCCGAACTTGAAGAAGCAGAGGAATGGAGCCAAACGGGCTCTGCTTAGGAGTACCGTAAAACTCTGATGGTGTGCCCTGGCAAAAGGCACTGAAGAATAGAGTCGTCCAGACCCAAATTGACTAGTGCATGAGAAAAACACCAGAATAGACAGGTACGTTTAGGGATGTCAATTAAACCCGTAGGTCTCAACAGATCGGGGCCCGAAATGAATGAGGGTCGGGTACGTGCGCTAAATCGCACCCGCAAGGGACTTATCAAGGCCCAAAATATAAAAAATAGCCTACATATAACTAAGTATCCATGTCCAATTTCTAACAACATGCTTGTCACCTAAGAATTAAATTTTTAATCTATTTCAAAAATTGTATAAATACATGGCACCTATGATGTAGATGACTAAATATGTGATATATAGATGACAAACTTCTCTTTTTACAACATTTGTATAATTATTAATATAATCATGATGATATATTACTCGTTAGATCAACACATGCTCGAAACCTGCGGCCGCGGATGCAAAATTGCGTCCACAAGGTGTGTTGAGGGCGAGGCGCTGGGCAGGTACTTGCTTCACCTGCACTACACCTGGCCCGTTGCCTTCTCCAGTTACGTTCATTCATGTTGGCAATCTCCATCCTTGTTTCCCGTGTGCGATAGATATAATAGTCGATAAACATGTTACTGATAACATGATAGATAGTTTTTTACAACTTCAGAAAAAAAAGTGAAAACTTAAGTTTTTGAAGAGCTATAAAAAATGGTAATGCTAGGTATGGGACGTCCATCCGCCCGGACGGTGCCGATCGTGGGCTGCGATGCAGCCAACAGCTGCTCATCCAATCACCCTCGCCCCCAATCTTCTTCAAAAAAACTTCTTATCCCTTCCGCTTCCTCCTCTCCACCACATCGCCTTGCGGCTGTCAGTCCGCCCGTCCTGTCCCAAAACTGCTGCCGCGCGCCCCATCCGGCACCACTCGCTCGCCCCCGTTGCAAACGCTTCTCACCCCTCCTGTCGCGAGCGCTTCTCGCCCCCTCTCATCGTGCGCGCTAGTGCTGGTGGTGCTCGCTTCGCCCGTCGCACGCGCCGCATGCCCGGCCGAGCCAAGATCGGTGCTGGTGGTGCTAGTGGAGGTGGTATGCGCCACGCCGCTCGTGCTAGAGCGCCTGCCCGTCTGAGGCAAGCCCGCTGTTGGTGGCTGGCGCTCGCATGCCGCAGCTTGCTGCCAGCTTCGACCCGACAGATGGAATCGGCTGGCCTCAACCTTCCCCTCCCCTATGTTGCACATGTATGTTTCAATTGTTTTAGACGTTCCAGATTTATGTTGCAATTGTTCTATTTTGATGTTGCAAAAATAGATCGGGAGATGTTGCAGGTGTTTCAAATGCATGTTGCAAGTGTTTGTTCAAAATGTTTTATTTGTTTCCAGACGTATGTTGCAATCGTTTTTTATTTGGATGTTGCATATGTTTCACATATGTGTTGCAACAGTATGTTCCAAAATATTTCAGCTGTTTCAGTCAAATCTTGCAGCAAGTGGTTTCAGTTGCAAGTGCTATTTTTTTGGATGTTTCATATGTTCCACGTACATATTGCAAGTGCATGTTCCAAGTTTTTAATCTGTTTTTAGACGGACGTTGCATTCAAATTTTTTATGTTGCAGACGGGGGCGCTAAGGGCGGACAGACGGGTGCTCCGGTTGGGGGCATGTCGGGTCCCTGCTCTCGAGTGCCGCCTGCTGGAGAGAGAGGAGCAGGTATGGGGAATGACCGGCGGGTGCAAATACGGGGGCGGAGCGAATCCGGACGAGGGTGGGGCGCGATGGCGGACTGGGGCGCACTGCGCGGGCGTCTGGAGACACACGCGTCCATCCAAACGTCCGGACCCTAACCACACCCTATAAATCCCCCCCCCACCCCCCCACCACACACACACACATAGTTTAGCTCAACACTATTTTTTTTTCTTTTTGCTAGGGTGACTGTAGAGTTGCACTGGAAAGAAAAAGATCAACATGTGCTTAGGCCTGGCCCAGCTACACTACGGCCTCCCTCTTCTTCGTCCAGCCTCACGGCCCATCGGAGACCAGCCCAGCCCCATGGTTCCCAGTTTCTATCCCTCCCCCACCCAACAGCCACATTATTGTGCGACTTCCCAAACTAACCCAAGTCACCTAGAACCTTCCCTAAAACTTTCCATCTCAACCGTCCCGCTCCCCAGTCCCCACCGCTACTGGCTGACATGTACGCGTACCACTCCTCCTCACTCCTGGGCCCACGCGGGCCCGCAGGGGCACATTCGTAAATCTCTCGCCACGAACCGACTCCACCCTCCCGGGTATAAATACACGCCAGCCCCCAGTTCTCCATTCCTGATCCAAATCGCCCCAAATTCCGCCGCTCTCCCGCGCGAGATCTGTTCCGAGCCAAAATTCCAAATCCAAATCCGCGGACTCCCCGCGCGCTTCCTCTCCCGCCCCAACCCCAAATCCTGACTCCCCCGCCCGCGCCCAAACGGCCGCCGGGTGTCCTTTCAAACCCGATCGGATCTGACCCCCACCGCCCGTCCCGCGCCGCGCCAAGGGAAGCGAAAGCGACCGAATCCCGTCGGCGTCGGTCATGGCGGTGATCACCGGGCGGCCGCCGAAGCGCGTGCGGGTAACGGCGGGGCCGCGCGCGCTGGACCTGCGGGCGTTCCCGGCCGCCGGTGAGGCGCCGGCGCGCGGGGCGTTCCGCGACTGCGTGCGGGCGTTCCTGGCGCGGTCCGCGGTGCCGGCCGACGGCGCGTGGCGGGTGGCCTTCCGCGTCGGGGACGGGGGCGGAGAGGGAGCGGTCGTGGCCATGGAGGTGGTGGAGGAGGATGTCGCCAGGGCTGGGGACGGGCGGATCTACTGCGAGCACTGCACCGTCGCCGGTGAGTGACCGTGCCCGGACTCTGTCCGCCGTGGCCGGGTCCATCTCTTGCTGACGGCCTCCTATTTGATAGAATTGCGGTGCCACAGTCATATCAGTAGCAGTGTGTTCACTGATTCCCGTGGCTATTTTTTCACATCGGTGAATTGGTGAAAGTAGTCGGGGTGGAGGGACGCGCTTATGCTGATCTGTCCTCTGTTTCTTGATTGTATTTATTAGTTCTCTTGTGAATCTGCTTCGCAGGGACCTCTGATTATTCTTGTAGATAAATTTAGGAGCCTTGACTCCGCACACACATGCTCTGCCTGCTACTCTGAGTTCTCCTGAATGTGTGTGCACATTTTTTCTTCTTCTACAGATGTCAATCAATAAACAAATTCTATCAAACGCAATGGTGACTGTTATGGCTGGAGAATCTCAATATCATTGCCTTTTGTCTTACAACTTAATAGGCTGGAGCAGACACCCTGTTTGTGGGAGGAGGTACCACTTCATAATTCGGAATGAATACGACGTGCATGAGTACAAAACCTGCAAGCATTGTGGGCATATGGCCCAATTGTTTGAAACGCGGTAAGCTAATCTACTTTGTGTAAAACTATCAATTGCTACTGTAGTGTAATATAAAACCAAACCCCTCAAATCACAACAATAACCCAAATAATGAAAAAGATAGTACTGTAACAAGCAATTGTTTGATTCTAGCAACTTGAGGAACATGCACATTTCCATCAACGCAAGGCCCTACAAGCACTGATCATCTTCATCATTAATAATCAGGTGCCCGTCATGCAAAAATGGGATCTCTTATGATGATCCGGAAGATTGGGACTATAGGCAGTTGGATAATCCACGTCACTTGCTGCATGGCATTGTACATGACAATGGGTTTGGTCACCTTGTCCGGATAAATGGCAGAGAGGGTGGTTCTAGTCTTGTGACTGGGATTCAACTGATGGGTTTCTGGGATTGGCTCTGCAAATACCTCAGAGTCAGGTAAAGTCTAATGATTTCCTTTCTGCCTGACCACGTGTACACTGGGATTAACTCATGGACTCACATAACATGAAACAAATTTAATTTTGCTTCTCCAATTATTTTCAAGCTATGAAATGGATGGACAGTGGCAGAAAAAGAAGATTGTCTAGTGTGCTATGTTCTTGGCATAAGCAACACTAACGGTGACCAAAATATTGTGGAATATATTAGGTTGGACTTTGTTCTTGTCATAACCAGAAAAAGAACTATGACATAAAAATTTGAGCATTCTTGGCTGCTTCCTTAAACCAGTTGTGTCATTCAATTGAACTGAACAAAAAAAAAGTATAATACAACCAAGCACATCTTGCTTTGAACGATATAAGAACATCAGGAAAGTGCTGTTGTTAAGATATAAATAATTGAGTTGTGGACATTAGAAATAATCTTGGATACATTTTTAAAATGACCACTTTAGCAGTTCCACTGAACTATGGGAACAGAACCAAACCTAGTGTGCAATGTGCTGCACATCTGACTAGAACTGTGTACTATGAAGTATGAATTGTTTTGTACACGTCACACAAAGCTGTTTACAATACAGATTACAACAACAACAACAACAAAGCCTTTAAGTCTCAAACAAGTTGGGGTAGGCTAGAGTTGAAACCCAGCAGAAGCAATCAAGGTTCAGGCATGTGACTATTTACAATACAGATTGAATTTGTAAAGTCAAATTCTCCTGTACTGGATTTTAGTTTTCTAGTTAATTGCAGAACAATCTCTAGGAAGTATGCAACTGACATGTAAAGCTTAATTGCAGAAAGGTCTTGTTGATGGATGTCTCTAAGAAGTATGGAACTGATTACCGGATCTTACATGCCATCACCACTGGTTATTCTTGGTATGGCCAATGGGGATTCAAACTCAGCAAAGGGAGCTTTGGAATCACATCAGAAGAATACTTAAAAGCTATAGACAACCTTTCCTCGACTCCATTATCACACTTCTTCCCCCACTCCCGATATCCTCGAAACCAGCTACAAGATACCATTTCATTCTACCAATCTCTTTCAAAGCACCCTCTCACCACAATTCGTGAACTGTTCCTCTATGTGCTGGGCCTTGCCACCAGCAAGAGTATAAATATGCACTATGGATCAATGCATAAGGAGCATTCACATACCCATGTGCAAGAGACATGGCCTGATGAGGAAATAAAACATGCAACAGAAATTGCTATAAAAGTTCTTCGTGCTGTCGAAAAAACAAAGTGGGTGGCCATGCGAACCCTAAAGGCAGCCATGTACCATCCAATTGGTTCACCACAGCTAGTTGACTACTGCCTCAAGACCCTTGGTACCAGAACAACTGATGGAATGACAGTTGCAGTCCGATGCAACAGTGAGACAAACACCCTAGAGTACAGGTTAGTGATTAATATACCTGTTATTATTACTTATCAGTTTATTACCAGCTTTGACAATTTATCCTAATTCTTGTTTCAACAAAAAATTCTAAATAATTCTTTACTGCAGGCTTATGGATGAGCCCACTTTCCAGCCCAATGTATGCATGCCAACTCAAGACCATCTTCGCCGTGACATAAAGTTCTTGCATGATGCTCTCCTCTATCCACATACAATGCATCCATACAAACCGGAAAACTGTTATGAGCATGCCAAAAGGTCTGCCATGATCCTTTTGGACTGCAAGCAATTCACGAAGCATTATGACCTGGAACAGGAGTTCTTGCCTCAAAACCCATCCATGTTGCACATGTGGTGCCAAGTAGAGCTGTTAGACCAGGTTGGCGATCCACCTTGCATCCCACCAGAGCTCCTAACTCTTCCACAGACAGCAACTGTGGCTGATCTGAAGGTGGAGGTAACCAGAACATTCCGTGACATCTATCTGATGTTACAGTCTTTTGTAGCCAATCAGCTTGTTGACTGTGGAACTGCAAGTGAGTCAACTCAGCTCAAACTCTTGTTTGGAGCAAATGGAACTGTTCGCGTCCAAGGCAGGTGTGCTGGTGGTGAACGCAGGGCTGGAATTTACCGGATGGAAAGAGGTGTGGATAAATGGACGGTCAACTGCTCTTGTGGAGCCAAGGATGATGATGGTGAGAGGATGCTGTCTTGTGACTCTTGCCATGTGTGGCAGCACACTAGGTGTGCTGGGATTAGTGATTTTGATCAGGTACCAAAGAGATATGTATGTAACTCATGTAAACTACTCCACAAGCATAAGAGCAGCAGGCCCAGGTCAGTTTATAATAGTGGCCCAAGCAAAAGATGCAAGATTGGCACAGGTGCCTTTAGCCATGTAGGTGGGGGATTTTTTAGGCCTCACATTGGTTGACATGTAAATATCAATAACAGTGAGTTTATATGTGTAACGTCCTGATCTGGGAAGATGGTTAAGGTTTACTCTACATGTTGAATGAGCCACATCTGCTAATTAACTCTCTCGTGCTTTCGTCCTCGCTTCACACAAAAAGATCGATCCGGAGTTAACAGCCTCCTAGATCTAGGCTTTTAAGTTGGTCTAATGTTCGTTCCGTTTCCGGTATGAGACTAAACCGGGAATACTAGTACCTCATTGCTACAGTGTCGTGAATTTGGTTCGGCCCAACTGGCCCAATGGGCTGGGTCTCACATCCACTCACCCTCAAAGAATTCGACGTCCTCGTCGAGCTATCGAACCAGTTTACCCATACGGGACAAATGTTCAGAGTCGATGCGGGACAAATGTTCAGGATCGACTCTCTTGGCCACGTCCGTATTTTCAGTTCTCTAGTCCAAGTGTCATGCCCTTTTTGGAGCCATGCACAATATGCCCAAACTTCCAGACCATACGCAATCGTAAAACCGCGAAAGTTGGCTCTGATACTATTTGTAACGCTTCGACCCAGGAAGACGGTTAAGGCCCACTCTGCACGTTGAATGAGCCACACTTGCTAATTAACTCTCTTGCGCTTTCGTCATCGCTTCACGCAAAAGGATCGATCTGGAGTTAACAGCCTCCCAGGTCCAGGCTTTTAAGCTGGTCTAGCGTTCGTTCCGTTTCTAGTATGTGACTAAACCAGGAATATTAGTACCTCATCGCTACAGTGTCGTGAATTTGATCCGGCCCAATGGGCTGGGTCTCACATCCTTGACCCGGGAAGACGGCTAAGGTCAACTCTACACGTTGAATGAGGCACACCTGCTAATTAACTCTCTTGCCCTTTCGTCCTCGTTTCACGCAAAAAGATCGATCCGAAGTTAACAACCTCCTAGGTCAAAGCTTTTAAGCTGGTCCAGTGTTCGTTCCGTTTCCGGTATGGGACTAAACCAGGAATACTAGTACCTCGTCGCTACAGTGTCATGAATTTGGTCCGACTCAACTGGCCCGATGGGCCGGGTCTCACAATATGAAATGCCAGTTTGTGGATGTTAACTTGAGAACTAAATTGTCTGAACTTGGTCTACTGTCAGTTGATGAATCATAAGGGTACTTACCAGCATGTAGGTACTTGTGCAGCCAGCACTTCACCTTTTAGTATCTTGTTTCACTTTATTGCAGCTGATACAACATCAAGATGAACATGTATTAACTAGCACAACAATGAAAACAGGAACACTAGATTTGGATCCAGAAAAACTAATCAAATTTAATTTGGCAACACATGACACTTTGTTTGTCTAACAGAAATAGGCAATGTTAGGAAAATGTTCTGTTCTTTTCATCGGATATCATATTAAAGGTCAAATGGAGAAGCAAGCTCTTAAAATCCATTCCTTGTTCGTGTGTTTCGGGAAGAAATAAGCCACTACCCAAAAACTTAATTTGAAGAAACAACGGCAAAAAAAACTCAAGAATTCTTAATTATATCCATACCATGCCAATCTCTACAGAGGTAGTCAGGCGCTTGGTCCAGCAGATTCATTATATACTATACAAAAATCAACTAGTAGAACTAGTGTCATACAGTTTACCCTCGTCTCATTATGCATTAATCTGGAAAAGCCAATACATGTTTTGTACATCGTATCCCTATTTTATTGGTTTCTTATGATCCTTACATAATTTTTCTGTTTCGTAATGAATTTTAGACCATCCCTGCTTTCTTTATCAAACCAAATGCAGAGTAAAAAGAAGCCGTAGCATTAGCATATATCCTTCAAGATTTGCCGTGCATTAAGTTTATTAGCAGTGCCCCTTTTGGATTACAATGTAGATTTTGTAAATTCCTGATAGAATGTGCTCCTAAGATCTAGGCTTGTTAGCTTAGAAACAAATATATGGAATTGAGACGGCACCAAAACCAAAATACAGAGAACTCACAAAACTTGGAAGATCATTTGGATGCAAAAAAATAGCGTGGATAACATAAGCTGTGCTTTCATCTTCAAATGGCAACTCTAAATATTTTGGAGATTTCAACCAGATATAAAAAATAAAGGTCAAGAGCATAACTCAGTCACTGAAATTCCTTTAGTTAAAAAAGCAATTAGAGCATAGAGCAATCAGAGGAAAAGGATCACGTAGGACATAACAAACCCTAGAACATTATTTCTCATAGAGGCCTAGGACCAAATAAACTCATAAATCCACTCTAAATCCTAATTGTAAAATTCTAAAAAAAACTTTCACAAGCAGCCAAGCACGCATTTAGTGAAGTTGAAGGTCGAAGGGAAAAAAATAATAAACTGAAGGCACAAGACCTTAAGAATGAATAATTAAAAAAAATATACTTCTCCATGAAACAGCTCATAAAACGTAAGCATTTGCAACGTGAAGTTTGTGTTGGTCCATATTAGAGAGACATGGAAGATCTTATGAGTGCATTACAACTTCTACGGAAACAAACTTCACTTTTTCAGATTCCCTAGAGCTAAACTCGATAGGCCGGTAAAATGAGGAAGAAAACCATTTAACACGGCGACAATAGGAAACTACGCGTACTCATAAAACCATAAACTCCCATTCCTCCTACACCTTAAGAACTCCCTCTGTACCAGGGAAAATGCAATTATTGTTTCCTTTTAAGTCATTCTAACTCAACTTTGACCAAATAAATCTACAAAAAGGTATTACTATTTATTTGGGTTATCTAGTAATTATCATTAGATTCATCGTGGAATATATTTTTGTAGTATTCTTATTTGTAGTCATAAACATAAATATTGATGTTGTTTTCTACTTTTGACAGTCCAAACCTAGAATTGCATTGTTTTAGGGGTAAAGGTATAGGGGAAAAAATTAGACACCAACCCTACATAGAACCTTTTGGTATTTTATTAAGTAACAAAAATCTCAGCAGAGAAAACTAAAGCAGAGCATTAGATTTTCTGAAAGAGCGCACCGCACACTGGAGCGTTCATCAACACTCTTTTCCCAAACCCATGACTCCAATCATTGCAATTGCAAGAGGACACAAATTGACCTACCACACCAGTAGAACCCCAGGTAGCATATATATATGCCCTAAATACACATCAAAATAGCAAGAGCCTGTATCATCGAGAGCGCGTGATGATCAAAGTCACTTGAGACACTAGTAGGCATACCATGATGCGCCGCTCGCAAAGAATCAGAGAGGAGCACCAAAATCGACAACAGAAATTAAGCCCTTCCGAGGCAATGAAAAAGAATCAATATGGAAAGGGTAGTACTAGAAGATGACCTTTTTGGTGCCTTGCGGGTTCGCGGCTGCCGTCGAAGAGACAACAGTAAACGAGCTCACGGCCGGAGGAAGGGGAAGACGCGCGCACGAGGATTTCCATCGCCCTCTCGGTGGCTCTCCGCAGCTCGCGGATTGGAATCTAAAGAGTGACCAGCTCGCTCAGCCAGCGCGTCCACGTTGATGTTATATTTTGTGGCCGTTCGATCGGTCATGCGGACGGTCCAGATCGAGACGAGCCGCGGTCGTTTTACTAAAAACCCCTTTCAGTTTTTGAAAATCAACCCGCGCTTCAGACGTTCTCTCATAATTTTTTAAAAAAAAACGCCTCATGTTATTTCCAAATCGACGCGCAGTCCAGAACGGATGCGCACTGATTTGTTTGCAAAAAAGACCTTCACTTTATCGAAATTCAACCCGCGCTTTATAGACACTCTCATCATTTTTACGAAAACATCCTCTGATTTTTCTCAAATCAAAAAACAGTTCACCTTTCATTATTTCTTTTTTTTCTCCAAAAAAAATATGTGGGGCCTGTGCACCGCGCGCATGCACGCCTGAAGGACTAGTCAGGTCTATAAGACAGGCGGTGCGCAAGAATCGTCCCGCTCTGCCCTCTGTTTTCTTTTTTCTTTTCTTTTTTTTTATAGAAGAACTCAGTTTTCTATTTTCCCACGTAGATCCGGCCCAATGCCTGTTTTGTCTACAAAAGCTCACTCAAATGCATGTTACGCACTTTCTAAATTCTTATTTAGAGAGCAATTTAGGCCTTATTCGGCATGGCTCCACTTCATTCATAAAGCTTTTTTTTTGAGCTTCAGCTCCATGAACAGCTTTTATGGGTGGAGCTGTAGCCGTTTTGATAAATCGTTTGGCAAAACAGCTTTACATATAGTTTTTCTTAAAATATGCTCTCAGAGAACGCCATGTAGAATGAGGTGAAGCCGAGAGAAGCCACTATTTTTAGCTCCTTCCCACCCTAAAGCTCTGTGAGAGCACGTTTTTAGGGGGCTTCATCGGTGGAGCCGTTTTATTTTATCCCGTTTGGCAGAAAACGGCTCCAAGTGGCTCCTGAAGCCGCTAGAGAAGCCCTGCCAAACGGGGTCTTAATAAGATCACTTTCTTTATTTATTCTACATTTTAATAATTTTTCTATATCTTGTTCCACGCTCTGGGAAGAACGAGCTTTGCTCTTGATCTTTAGAGAGAAAACCCAAGAAGAAGCGGATGAAAATATTTAGATATCCAAATGAAGAAGCTACGAGAAGTGTTTTTTTCACCAAAATTTGTATCCATGTCAATTATCGACGAAATCTAGTCGGCAGTCTACCGAGGGGTATGTCCACGGTAGTAGATGAATCGATAAAGGTGCGCGTGAGAAAACCGGGTGGTGACACAGAACCCAACAGACAGCGATTGGACAGGTTCGGACCGTCGGCTTGACGTAATACCCTACTATCCTGTGTCCTTGTGGATTGTATTATGTATGATTAGATAAAAACAAAGGGGTCCCTACCCGCCTTATATAGCCTAGGGGGTAGGATTACAGATCGGTTGTTTCTATCCTGATCGGTTTACAAGATAGGAAGTTACAGATATCACCGTAATCTAGCATATCCGAGCAGATTTCCTAGATCACCGAGGATCCTTACGCAATCTTGTGAAGCACGCTGACCTACGTCGTACTTCACGTGGCGTCGTCTTGCAAGCTGGGCCTCGACTACTAGCGCGACCCATGCATGGTCTTGTGGATTGGACCTCTCCTAGCGGCTCGGCCCATATACAACCCTGTGGGTTCCGGGGGTTATACCTCCACAGCTAGTCCCCGAGCACTTTGTATCCGCCGAGCAACACCGTCCTGAGGTAAGCTTAAGAAAATCCTTCTATTGTGTCCCTTGATTATCACAATCTTTTTAATCCATTGCTTGTTGCATAATGTTATGAAAGTTTTCGAGCAGCACCGAAGGCAACTAGAAGAGATGGCCCCAGTGCTGAAGGAGAACAAGAATCTACGGGAGTCAGTGGATGACCTCCAAGCGCGCCTACTCCAAGAACGCCACCACAGAGAAGATGTGGAGGTGAAAGTCCTGGCGTTGGAGGCGGAGCGTCGGCAGATGGAGGCGGAGAACCAGACATTGGCCGAGCAGCTTAGCCATAGTGCCGACCAGCAGAAAGGTATGATTTTTAATCTTGTCTTGTTAATGCTCAGCGTTGTGAGATGTCTTGCTATGATGTGCAGCATTGGAAATGGAGCTCGGCCTTTCCCGGGAGGCCATCGGCAGCTGACTGCGGTGAAGGAGGAGGCAGACAAAAAGGCCGAGAAGATAGCTAAAGATCTTCGACGTGAGTGTTTGGCATTTTATTTTTGCCTGTGCAGTTTGAACGCATGCTTAGCATACAATCATTTTTTACAGAGTATCGGCACCAGGCGCTCACGTAATTCCAGGACTTTGGAGACCAAGTGAAAAACGTAGGACGAGGAGATTGAAGTGATGAAAGTAGGGATCAAGCTCGTGCTTGACTGCATTGGCTTTGAGCCATCCGAAGGGAGAGAGCTGCTGCCTAGAGACCTGCAACCTCGGTCGATCCTGGACTAGTGTCGTACGACATGGTTGGACTTCAAGGAATTCGCACGCATCGCCACCCATGGAGCCGTCGTCCATGCACTTGCCCAGCTACGATCACATTATCCTGCGGTGGATCTCCAGCGCATGGTGACCAGCTATGCCCACGGAATAGATGCGACGAAGATCACCAAGCTGGAGGACGAGGCGGAAGAGCCGATGAAGAGGTTGGGTAGAGACGTTGACCTGTTCGACGAAGGGGGGAGCGGTGCTCCGTAGATAAAAACTTATGCTGAATCATTGTATAGGAGTGCTTAGCAACTTTTGTTGAAAGCTTGTTGTTATGGTGTGTTTGTGTTTATATTTGATATAAACCATCCGATCAGTAGTGTGTAGTTGAGTCTCCAGCCCTAGCTAGCCTATTAACCGTAACACGAGGCGCAGGGGTCGTGTGCGTGTGGAAAGAATAGGGTGTCTCTAAGGAACCGTTGCCGACCACCCATGACGCAGAGGGCGGACACTCATGGACGTGTAGGGACAAGTCAAAGATAGGGTCATCTCTGGAGGCGTCCGAGCGTCAACGTGTTTGTGCGGGTATTTGCCTTAGGCGTAGTTGGCGTGTCATCTTTAAGATGTTGTACATAAAATCAGAATCGCTTAGCGGAAAAGCATGGAGAAAACAATATGGAGAAACATTAGTGTAAAAAACTTTATTGAATACTCAAATATGAAAGGTACATATCTTTGAAATGAATGCTTCAAGGGTAGAAACGTCTAAGCAGATCAATGTGCCAAGAGTTTGTGACATCTCTTTCATCCATGTCGCATAGTCTGTAGGACTCTGGTTGGGTGACCACCTTGACGATGAAGGGGCCCTCCCAAGGTGAGGAGAGCTTGTGCATCC